TCCGTTCTGTAACCACTGTTGCTAATAGAGAGAGGTGGATATTAACGGGGTGGATATTAGAGAGGGTTCACTGTACTTTGTATTTAGAGTAGAATCAGTTATGAGATGATGACGATTATAGAGTACAAAATCTGCTTATAATAATTTATACACCGGTGCGTCTTAGCTATTCGAACAGTGTTTTGTTTGTTCAATAGTCTGATCTTTCATTGTTTGGATTAAATCGGTGAATAAACGTGATTTTGAAGGGAGGCAAGCGAGCACTCGTATATAATTGGGAAGAAATCACGTCGTTGGGAATATATTGGGGAAAGTTGGAAATAACATATTCATGGAGTATAATCTAGGAAGTATATATCAAATCATACGTGTATTTTATAGATTTAAATTGATGCAGTTATCATATAATGTGGGAAGTAAGAGTGTTGTGCTGCGAATGGAATAAACACATATATGATAAACTATAAATTTACTGTATAATAACAATGCATAATCGTTAAAATATAGAATGTCAGATTGAATATAAGATGTGGTCATGTGGTGATGGTTAGTTAAAGTAAATACACATTAACGTTCGTCATACTTGTGCATTTTTTATTTTTTATTTTAATTAAAAAAGATTGATCAACAAAAAAAAAAGGTGGGTGGAACGGGAAAATGTTTGATCGTATAATACTGTTACACATACATGAGCAAATAAAGTATTAGTATTTCAAATTATGTCATCGGTTATCAATAATAAATATATCATTTTGTTTAACTCTGTTATTGACAAGCAGTTACGCTAACTTCCGGGAGGATAAATCTCGTGAGTTGCTCGTCTGGATTTAGACGTATTTGACAACGTTTTTTTGTTTGGATTAATAGCTTCACGTTGAACATCATTCGATACGTCTTCATTAGAATTAGTGTCATCCTCAATCTGCACTGAGCTGCTTGACTCACTTTTGGACGCGATTGTACTTGAGAGGGAGGTAAAGGAATCGGTTTTTTTGTTGGGGGTGTATGCTTCGGACAATCGCAGCTCGGCGAGATGAAGAAAGAGAGACTGGAGAGCTCGTGTCATTGGTGGCTGTGTTGTTTTTTGGAATGACAAATGTTGAATGTTGCAATTTGCAGTAAATGGTATTATAAAGCTCCACTGCGCCCTCAATTTTTATTCGAGAGCCAGTATTATAGACTTTCGTTCGATTTAACAGGTGTTTGATTTTGGTTGAATGCCGTTACCGTGAAGGGTTGATACGTACCCCCTGTATTGGTTTCAACATATTGAGAAAGACTCACATCGAAAGAAACGGTCGTTTCTGTAATATTCGGTTTCCCAGAAATTGTACCAATTGCTGTAACGTAAGTAAATAAAATCGTAAGGGATGGATGATGGATCTAGGAAAATCTTTTTCGAGTGAGAGCAGGTGACATTTATTGTTTGTGTTGATGAATCAACATTCGTAATAGTCCCGTGCCGTGGAAATAGATAATGTCTTTTGGAGCTAACGATACGACATAACAGGTGCTTCGGCGTCGATTGGAAGAAATTGGGTGATGTTAAATTTAATATTTTCGTCTTCGTTTGTTTTTGATTTAACGATTACTATACCGACCACAAATTCAGTTTGAGGGGTGGTTTGATAGCTGATAACCTCTCCAATTGATCGAATTTCCGGTTTATATGAACGATTAAAAAGAAATAAACTGGAAGAAAAGAAGAAAAATGTGAAGGAATTTTTATTGTAAATGAAGATACTCTTGGAATTCAGGTAGGCTTTTTATATGGTTTGTCAGAAGAGATTTATTGGTGTCTTTCATTAGGCGTTTTAACAGCGTAAACAATTTGTTGGTTATTTTTGGGTAAATGTGGTTGATAAATGGACAATATGAAAGTGGGCTTTCATTTTTGAACTGAGTGTCGTGTGTTTACAAGTTTTCTGATTAGTTAGCACATACACCATTATCATAGTAAATAATTGTTTTGTGTGGGAAATTAATTAAAAGCTAATATTTTTTTTTCCCGAATAGTTCGTGGTGTATTAGTATATGATGGAAAACCGTTTTTATAAATGCTAGTACATATACGTGCCAAAAATGTTTTGAGCGACAAAATGGCAAATCAAAGCCCGATTATTATTGGTGATTTGCGAACAAAGAGTTGGTGCATACAATGGCGACAATTCTTTTTTTGATTTAAACAACAGCTGATGCATTCGTTAAGATTAGTGCTACTGACGACGAACCGATAACTGACCATTATTTTGGTCAACATATGGTGTGCTTTATTGATGTGGCTAAATGTACGCCTTTTCCGAACAACCCATGCATTTTTACAATACTTGCACGTAGACGTGGCCAAACATTTAAAGTTTAGTGTTGCGAAACTGATTATTATTGGTGATTTGAAGAATACCGAGGGACTGACAGTTTGTATACATGATGGAGACGTTTCTTTTTTTGATTTAAAAAACAAACAGCTGATAGCTTCGTTAAGATTAGTGTTGGCTGACAAATTAATGACCTGATTATTATCAAATTTGGGCGTATATGTACGTTTCTTTTGTCTGTACCAATGGAAAATGCTTGGGGTTACTAAATAAGTTAGCGAGAGTTAAGAGTACTGATTTATTCGAATAAAATATATACTCTGTATTACACGTGATATGTGTACTGAACATAAAACTATAAGTTATGTTTCGCATACATTACAGTTATAAACGTATACCACAAATCATGTTGTGCATACATACAGTATATAATGCATGCGATGAATAAAAAAAGTCATTTTTACGTTCGGCCAATTGGTTGTTCAGTAGTATGGTATAATTGGTTTAATGCTTAACATACTAGCTCTGGCTTGTCATTCAAAATTTAGTTTAATCACAAAGTTTTATCGATCTTGTCAGATATAGTAAAGCGGATATCTATCACGAAGACAGTATTGGAAAAAGTAGAAAGGTGGCTAATGTGAGTTAACGCCTTATGGTGTATACCGTTTTTACAATAATGGTATACACGCCAAGATATTTAAACTTTTAATGTTGAATAAACCCGATTATCGATGATTTGCAAATATTAGGGAACAAACAGTTGGTGTATACAATGGGGACGTTTCTTTTTTTTTGATTTACAAAATAACAGCTGATACACTCATGCTGATTATTATTTGGGGCTGGATGTAAGAAAGCCATTTAAGTACTAGCACAAATTGTGTGTATGGGTAAATCAGTGGTTGACTTATTTGGGTTTGCAGGAGCAAAAAAATTCCCCTCATATTTTACAATCAGGTGATCGACAAATAGATGAGATGATATTTTTTAATATTTCGCGCGATAGTATTATACTCATTCTGCCAGGTCATATTATATGTATCGAAAATGCACCTTTCTTATAATAAATGCTTTTAATATTGTGATCCTTTTGAACAGATAATTGGTGAAACAATGGCTTTACTTAGATATGGGTTAAGGAGTCGCCCAATTATAGCCTGTTATACGTTCGATTTGCGGTAAAAAAAATATGGATTTTATTAAAGAAAAAAGAAAGCAAATACGTTATGGATAAATTTAATATGAATTTAAAAAGAAATTCGATCAGCTAATTGTTTTAATCTTTCGTATTCAATAGCTACATTTCTATCAACTAAAAATGCGCTTTCATCGAGAGCAGTAATGCGGACAGTATTCCATAAAGTTGCTCGGCTCAAAGCAACGTATGCTTGGCCTGGTGAAAAGAACTGCTTGTCAAGCACAAGGCAAACATCAGGTAGCGTTAAACCTTGGGCCTTGTGTACAATCGTTGCAAAACAATTTTGCAACGGAAATTGTTTACGCGAACATAGCTTTCCATTAACATAGAAAGTAGAGACAATACACCGGATTTCAAAGTAGTCGATAATCCCATTTTGTACTGCAAACGCTACACATGTAGTAAGATGCTCTTGATCAACATCCGTAACTACTCCTATGGTACCATTACAAATTCCCTTGTCGAAATGCTGTTGTTTAAGAACATTACACGAGCTCCTTGTTGAAGCCGAATCATCTTTGGAAGATTTGTCTTATTTTTAAACATGCAATGTGTTTCATCGACAGAACATATGGAACCATTAATCGTGTCTATTGCATAGTTGACTAAAAATTGGGATGGTGGCGTGTTGAAAAGATTGCATATGGATACGTTTATTTTCATTGCTGATTCACGATATTCTACTATGTGTGTTGTCGTTAGAGCTGCACAACCATCCGTAATAGACATACTTTTATTTAATTTTGAACTGAGCATCCTCCAAGACAATGATGAGATATTTCCGAAACGGACTTCTTCAAGTAATTTATAAAATTCGAGATCGTTTTCTTGTCGCCGTGAATGTGTTAGAAATAAGGGATAAAATAATTTCCATGTAGGCGAATAATACACGGGTGTTCCACTTACTGGTGGAAGCTGTGCAAGATCTCCTACTAATACTACATTGACTCCACCAAATGCAGAAGCATTGCCATGTATCTTTGCAAATATGTCTGAAATAAAAGAAAGTAATTGTGCAGATACCATTGGTGTTTGATCTGTAAATGCACGTTTTACAAAGGTCCCACCTTGATACGTAATTCTTAAAGCGGAATGTATTGTTTTTCCATCGATTCTCTGCGCAGCTACCCCTGTCGGAGAACGGTATTCCGTATAAGCATTGGCAATTTGTCAATCTTCTCAGACTAGAATGCAAAAAGATAGGTGACAAATATTTTCTTTTTCCATAAGGATTGCTTAAGGAATTTCTGCAAGACGTGGAATTTGCAGTCTTGTCGATGGCAATTTGTAGCAATGACAAGTCGGTAGTTTTCTTGCACCAGGATGAGCGGCGTCTTCTATTGAAATCGATGGATATACAGTGACACCTCCATAAATGCCCCCATAAGTGCAATCCCTCTCTAAATGCAACCCCCATAAGTGCAATCCCTCTCTAAATGCAACCCTCCACTTTCTGCAATTGCAACGGATTTGCGGTCCCACTCTAATAGATTTATTTCCCCAAGTGCAACTCACGTGATTTTCTGTAATGTTATTTGTTGCGGAAGATGATCAACACAATGTAGTAGTAGTACAAAAACTACAGTTTCAAATTTCAAATATCACAATTCACGCGCACATTATTTGTTACAGATTCAGTTTTCCGTTTGAAGAAGGAATTCTTTGTGAAGTATTGCTATTTTGTTTCAGCGTTTGCGTTATAATTATTTGTTTCATTTTACAATGGCTTTGAAACTAGCGAACGAGCTTCAATGGTTTAACGTAGATATGTCAAAGTATAAAAGTGATGAAATTCATTCGTGAAAAAAGGGTAAATTCGGCGAAACAAAGTAGCATAACACAATTCTTAGTTAACAATTAAGGATATTATAGTCAAAAATTTTCCATAAAGTTAGCTGGAAAGTATAATAAAAGAAAATCCATAAATCATTAAATTACAATATGCCTGTAGGCCGTACAACTTGATCAATGTAATATCAAAACCCGGATTGAGTCCTGCAAACCGATTAATTAAAGTTTTTAACATTTTCGTAATCTTCATGCGATCGCCTTTGAAGTGCGACCAATCGGCGGGCCACTAACTTCAATTACGGAGAACTCTTCATCTTCTTCTCTCAGTGAAAGAATAACATCGATTTTTTTCCTCATAGATCGGCGTTCATCATCTGCTTTTTGGGAATTACCGTCTTTGGCGCTTGCCTTGAGGCAAGTCTTTCCGTACGAGGCATACCAGACTTTCTTATTTTTTAAGTAGAAGTCGTTAAGGATGGGTCCTAAAACACTAATTATATATGTTCCCTCGGACATCGGATCAAGAAACAAATTCACATCTTCTATTAATTTTACCCTACATACTGTATATGGTTAGTCTTATAGATTTATTACACACTTCTCAGTGATCAATAATATATACTTACAAAATTCAACGCGAAGTTCTGCTCAAATGAAGTAGTATCTTCTCTCAGTGCTTTAATTTTCTCCAGAGTCTTTTTGATATCGCGATCTATGACGTTATCTAGTAGGGACTTAATATCATGGTTAACAGTATCTTTTAATTCTCTCTTCTTCACACAAGTGAGCATCTGTTGTACAATGTTGTCATCGAATGTCCATAAGAAACTATCTTTCTTTTTACCATTGAAGAATATGACGTCGTAATATTCTGGTCGTGTTTTTGGCGGTTTCCTTTCCAGCTGGTATTCTGTGAAACGTTCCCTGATATTACCACCCAGTGATCGTTTGATCTGCACTGTACCCTTCGTCATCCTCTTCTATGTCACGACTACGCTTTGTTTTTTGTGAACCAGTTATGAAAGGGTTTGCTAGTTAGTGGTCGGCTATGAATGCGTCTTGGGAAAGGCTATATCGTGAGCTTTCTTTTTCTTCGTCATCCAGCGTCATTTGTTGTTCTGGTGTGCGGTATCCGGTTTCATCTACTCCATCATAGTTAGAAGCTTCCATCTACAGTCAATAAATCCGTTATATAGGCTAAGTGTTGTTAGGCAAATAAACCAGACACAATTACTCACAATAAATTCGATTTTTGATTCATCGCTTGCGTGAAGGTGCTCATCGATAACGTTTGACTGCACGTGAATAGTTTTCTGTTTCTGAATGAGTTATATTGGGAAAAAACATTAATTGCGTATTAAGCTACAGATTATCCGTGTATATATTAGTATTTCACCTTTTTCTCGATCAATAGTGCTTCTTTTATACGAGTTTTAGCTTTTTCTTCTTGAATGTGAAGAGAAGCCCAGAAATCTTGCATGTGTCTTACATTGAGATGGACGTCAATGATAATCAGTAAAGATTTTGCCAAATTGCCTGCAGCGTTACTTTTGGTGGAAACATGAGCCAGGGTTTGACACAAAGCTTCTTCCGCGTCTGCCTTCATTGAATAGGTAAAACGGGTCTTTTTAAAGAATTTGATAGCTGTAAAGCCTTCTGCCAACAACTCTTGTAATATCGATGTAATCTTGCTGATAAATTTTTGCAAGAGAAGAAATATATAGATTTATAAGCAGTTAATGATGTCAAACAATTTCATAAGGAGAAATTTGATACTGACCATACTAACTGGTAACATTATAATAGATTATTACAAGAATATGGTAAAGATTGCTTGGGCTCTAAAAACCAAATCGTAAGTAGCTTTTGTATGTTCGAAACAAAATGTTATAATATTTATATTAAATAATACATGCCAAACTTTTGACAATTTTTACACAACCTTGAAACTCTCTCAAGATAACGCAAAATCGTTATATCGCTCAGAACAGTCACGATACACTGCTTCAATCACAACACACGAAGGCAGACATATAGAGGCAGACATGTCATCCTCAGGTTTTACAGGTGTCGAAGCACTGATCTAAACAGAACCTTGGATAACTCGAAACTGTCTCAAGATAACACAAGATTGTTATATCGCCCTGAACGTCACAATACAACTGCTCCAATCACAACACACAAAGGCAGACATATCATCCTCAGGTTTTACAAGTGTCGAAGCACTGATCTAAACAGAACCTTGGGATATCTTTTGAAAGTCGACATATGTCTAGTACACTAACATATGACCATCTCAATCACAACACACGAAGGCAGACATATCGAAGCAGACATGCCATCCTCAGGTTTTACAGGCGTCGAGATGCCAAGTTGAAAGCACAAAATCCAAATGTTGAATAATACTCTTTTACCATACCTTATATATTGTCTAAAAGTGAAAAACGATGTTCAAATGTTGATATTGATTTCAATTTGCAGTAAAACGCAACGCGACCGAGTTGATATGTTGGAGATACAAATGTTGTCGCGCGAATTGGGCCTTTTTGGAATGGGTGTAATCCTTAATCACATGAATAATATCAGACGTCTTTATTGGTTAATGATTTAATTCACGTGATTGTGATACTTAATTTGTTTATTGGTCATTTGTCGCATTATACTGGGTTTTTTCTCTCCAATATATCTCTCGCCATATTTATGTGTTTACTTGCATTTTCTTGTTGTAGAAAAAATGCTTGTACCAATTTCAAGCCTTGTAATGCCGTACTGGCACAGAGCATCATCACACACTGTATATATCTATTCGAACTTCCACTTCTTTCTGTTATTATCAATGTTACTACTGCCAACACTATCTTAATTGATAAATTGTATATTATTATCTTGAAACTTTTGTGACATGATTGGAAATGCAGGAGGAATGTATGTCATTATTTAATGCTAGTCTTCACAATGGCATAAATATAAAATAAATGATTCTGACAGAATAAAGATTTTTGAATGATGTAAAAGTCTGTGATATGCTTTTTTGACAAGATTTTCTGGTTTATTGTTAATGTGAGATGGAAGAAGAGAATAGTTTGGAGTATTTTTTTACAAACATTATTTGCTACAAACTGTCAGCAATAACACACCGCAAAAAAAAAATGCTTCAGTGCTAGCTGACGACATATTTATGCCAAAATTTTCTAGTGTTTCCAGATTATTAATACTTTGTCGCCAATTCAAATTTCTAAAAGAAAAATTGCCATTAGCATAGTGTTCGACAATTGTATCAGTGAAGCAGACATACTTTTTGTGCTAGATTATTGTGTAAGTTACTATAACAAAACGCTGTTCGTGCACTTGCCATATTACAAAGTTACGTTGACATCATATTGCATGAGCGCTTTTGTTATCGCTATCATTGTGATCAGTCTAATTAAATTATACGTGTGACTTATCAAATTTGTTAACCCGTCAAAATATTTTACGCGCGTGTTCTAAAATGTTACACCAGCCATATTATCCTTCTTTACGGAACAATCGTGACAATACAAACCCCGTTCGCCATGGCGTGTTACACTAGACAGATATCGATATCAGCTTATTCTTTCTATTGGTTGACAGTAATCTTTGTCACAGACTCTTACACCGCTAGAAAAAGCCACCGGAGAAAACCGACGTTTAATTGAAGAAGAAGAAAAAACAAAACGCCAAGCCCAATACGAATCTTTCGTCATCTAACACGTCTACTCACACATATGCAGAACGCTTCTCTTTATCGCTTCACAACAACCTCTTCTCTCCCAAAGCACAAACCCAACATTACTTAAATATACAACGAGCAAACCTTTGCCGACACTTCACATTATGCACATGCTACAACACACGAATCAAGACTTTTAACAATGACACACGATGTATACAGATGTATACGCGTCACTTATATATGTCCAGACGCACTAATCTCTATTGCACTTGTATCGCTTTACAACAAGTTGTCTTACTCTAAAGCGCAAACACTACGTTATTTAAAAGTTAAAACAAACCTTTGCCACCACGCCATTTACGCACATGCAACATTTTGCTACATATCACGAACAAGCCCTCAAACAACGACACGGTTTATTGATCACGGGACCAAGTCTTCATTATTGACATGTACCGCACCGAGTAGATTTATAGAAAAGTTGTATCGTATCTACGTCTATTAACTTATTCAAATATTCGACGTTTCAACAACAGGTATCTTCGTGTCATTACATGTTATGGAATAATCAACTAATCATTATAATATCTATTACACTATTTAGGAGTCATTTCTCAATTTCAAAAGTTTCCTGACACACAGTCTTGCTTTTCCCATTACTCTGCCAAAACTCGCTTTAGATTCGGACTTTTTGCTTCATTATTATTCTCATTATGGGCACGCTAAGTTTACCAGTGTATTCGCAACGCCAATCATATTACTAGAGAATTGAGAAACAAATTAGAGAAATAAATGCATGACGGATTCTCCTTTAGCAACCAAGCGCCTGATGTGTATGCCACTCAACGATTCATTATCTCAAAGCGGTTCCTTTTTTACTAAAAAATGACAAATCCAACCTTATTCGATGCCAGAAACTCCGACATTTAACGATTAGTACAAGGTAAGTAGAAGAAAACCATTATCGACAATGAAGTTACAGAGCAATCAAGAAAAAGTGAGTATATAATATTTACCATTTTCCTTTTTTTTACAGCTGAAAGTTACACAGGAAAGAATATTGTCATAGATGACAATAATCAAGATAACCCATGATAGTAATTCTCAGTCTCCTTTGCGCAAAAATAGTGAAGTAAAGAAAAGCATTGGTTTGTGAAGAGTCGAGATGTGAATTAGGCGGAATAGATAGAGTAAATAGGGAAATGGGTAGATAAATGATCGTTAACTGCAGACTATTGCTTTTTGAATCGGTTTACTAGGTGGCTGCTCTCCTTGTCTCTCTGGATCGGTGGTGGCTAGTTACCGGTGACGCCCTTCCTATTTGTCATTGTTTCCAGTGTTCGCTGGCGGTGAGGGAATGTCTGATGAGTGGGTCACGGGGGATGCCTGGAACACTCTTCAGATATCTCCTTTTTTTTTCTTCTTTTTTTTTACACAGCTTTAGATGACTGGGAGAAGGTTTTGGGTAAGTATAAAGTAAGCATCGCATTGTTTTACGTTATAACTAACACTATTTTCTTTTTCTTTTCTTATCTCCCTTTTTTTCTTTTCACTGACGGTTTGCCAGTGGCCGGATCCAATGGGACATTTGGGGAGATGGACGGGTTTGAGGGACTGATTCGGGGATTACTTAGCTGCTTGTGAAGGATCTGTTCCTGAAGCTGGTTAGAGGTTTGCAGCCTCGGCACACTGGGTTAAAGCGATAGTTTTTCGATAATCTATCCACCTAATCAATATTATAATTTAATTCATAAAAGAATAGTAATAGTAATAGTAATAGTAATAGTAATAGTAATAGTAATAGTAATAGTAATAGTAATAGTAATAGTAAATTTTCGCCTTCATCACTTGATCTTAACCTGATGTGTCGATTCTATATTTTCATTCGCCATTTGCGAGCATCTTTTTCCCAAATTAATATTTTGACTAATCTTCTATTACCTTTTCTGGTAAGTTTTATGGAAATTTTATGCGACCAATTTTATATTCATATATATTATATCGTACCTCCGTACCATGCGTGTATTTATAGCCAAAAGACTAAATGTGCCCCCAGCATTTTGTTGTTTGTTAACAAAAAAATAGTAATAAGATAAACTATAATCGAAAAGGAGAGGCAATACTAGTCTGCAATAATAATCGGAGGATGAATACATATCGATAACGACTCGATATGGTAAAAATTATTATTATTATTATTATTATTTTAATATTTAAGTCTTGCTTTTTTTTGTCAAGTCTTTTTTTCACAGAAAAAAAAAGTCGCTTTCGAATGTTGTTCGCTTGATATTTTTCCAAGCATGGCAATCATACCTACTAGCCTCAAATAGTTATGAAATTTGGCGATGTTTTGTGGCTGTAACCTATTATCCATTGCATAATTGAACATTGTACAACTCTCACGTGTAGGTAAACCAAATATGACAAACAATTAATAAACACATCATAATAATCAATTTATAAAAGCAACCAAACATTTACCATTAACAGATTAGACCTATATAGAAATGCAGTTGGTAAACAGATTACGTATGTCTAAAGTAAATATCATACTAAAAAGTTTAGTAGTTGATGCATTAAAAACTGTAAGTATTAAAGATACAAACAACAAAACACGCCATATACATTTTCTCATGAGCTATAGAATACGTCGCATTTATATTCCAGATGATAGTTAATATTACTTACCTCTCCAACCACATTTATAGCATTAACGCTATATAGAAATAAACAAAAAAATACGTCACGTTCAGCACAAATGTATAGCGTAAAATGAAAAACTATCAGCCAATTTTCTTCCAAATCACTATCAGTAGACACAAAACCAAACAAACTAATGCATTACTTTGCCTTTATCTATAGCACCATAGCGACTCGAAAAACATAAAAACCAATAAAACCATACGCCACCT